CTGGGTGGACGGGGGGTTATACGAGGTCACTGTAGGTAGCCAAGCAGCCTTTGGAACCGAGGCTTCCTGGCTCCTGTCTATCTAGAGCATCCTTTATTTCACCAAGCTTTTCCCTTATCCTAAAACACTGCCACATCTGTCCTCTGAGGCTTAAAATGCCATCGGTGCTTTCTGTGTCAGCCACTGTTTGGCAGATTTCCTATTATCTGAAGGCTGCTGAACCCAGTGCTAATTGACCCCACCCGAGCAGATGCAGTTTAGCAGGGCAGACATGGGTTTTAACCTGTGTCTAAAACTGTCATCCTGCTGAGCACGCTTTGTGGGATTCCCTGGTCGTGTGGAACTGGATTGAGGTCAGAAGCGTGGGGCGCTCAGCTCAGCTTTGCTCTTTCCTGGCAGTGTGAGCCTGGTCCTTTTAAACCTCAGTCCCCATCCTGTAAAATGGGGACAATGGATGATATGTGTCCAGCAAGGTGCAAAATGCAGAACTCACTCCCTGGTGTTGGGGTGGCTGGGGGGGGGCGGTCCTCAGGATGATGGGGAGGATGCGCTGGTGTTGGGGTGGCGGGGGTCTCAGGATGACAGGGAGGATGCAAAGACCAAGCAGCCGCAGTGACCAATGCTGTTGGGAGCAGCAAGGGGACGTACAGGGGTGGAGCTTGGGGATGGGCACTGACACCTGTGTCAGTGCCTCCCCTGGTGCACTGAGGGCAGCCAAGCACCACGTCTCTGCTGTAACCAAGAGGGGTGGGACGCAATGCCCTGTCAGCATTGATGTGAGTCCGCTTTTGTTCAGAGACAGGGGGCGGCACAAGTAGCTCTCAGCTGGGCCTTGAGCCTCCAGCTCGTGAGCTCGAAGGCAAGGCCTGGAAGTGGCCTGACAGCGTCTCCACTCCCCCTATGGCTTTGCTTCTGAAACCTGAAGGCCTGCACCTGTCTACTGGCTCCGAGCAGCCAGGTGGTGTCCACAGTAAACAGCAGTTCCTGTGCCTTCTCTCCTGCTGGCTGAGATCTGCAGTAAGATGTTTTCCACCACAGCAGAACCGCCCACACCTCTTTGGTCCAAATCAGAGCCCCGCTTTGCTTCAAGTTTCTCTCAACTACCTTCCCAACGGGAAGCCATCACTCTGTCTTGCTCTCTTCCCCACCCCCATTCCTTATGTTTGGCACCTGCGCTGTCTCCACTCAGGCGGTGCCAGCTGGTTCCCGGAGGGCAAAAACCGTGTCCTTACAATGAACTGCAACTATCAAGAAGCATCTTACCCCCCAGCCTTGAGGACAGAGGCTGAAATAAGACCGCTCACTGGGAACATCTCATTGCTTGGCCCTGCGGGGCCCCATTTTTCTGACCAGCTGCTAGATGGTCTAAAAATGCCTGCATTTCCTTATTGTGGCCTGTTCCTAGATTTTTTTTATGCTGATATGATTGAAACAAGGTCGATCTGGGTAGACGTGATACACATGGGTGAGTTTCCTTGTTCAGGGTGACAGGCCGCCAGCAAGCGCCATATATACTTCCGATCCCCTCCTCCCTTGAAAGATAATTGTAACTAAATGTTTTAATGGGACAGGGATCTGTGCGTGTGGGGATAAGAGGCAACCAGGACAGGAGGGTGTGCAGTGCCCTCCCGCTCCCCCCCCAGCCCCAAGCCCCTTCCGCAGAAGCAGCTTCTGTCGGCTTAGAAGGGAGCGTGGTGTCACGGGACTTCCTAGGAAGAAGGGACAGCGTAGGAGTGTGTCCTGCCTGCTCTGGGGCTGTTGTGACTGAGCGAGAGAGAAATGAGCATGCAAGGTAGTCAAACTGCAGCAAGGGGCTTTTCTCGTGCCGTGGTTGGATGGGTGTCGAGCGGTGGGGTGAGGCTGGGGCTGGTGGGGTGACAGCGTTTTAACACTGGCTTGGAACAGTGTCCCCACCGCACCCCCATCAAAGCAGCGCATAGTGTGAACCAGGCCAGCCCACTGGGGTGCAGGGGCCAAGGCCCTGACCTGATTCTGTGGTGGGGGGACTTTGAGATCATAGGCTCACCCGGTGCGCACAGTAGTTTTACCTGTGTGGCTGGAGAGATGGGCTCATCCTCTTCTGGGGGGGGGGGACTCTGAACGTGCAGGTCTTGTAAGGATGTAGCCTCTCATGGACCCTTGAGACAGACCCCCACTGAACAAAGTGTTGTGATGACCATCCCACTCCGGGTGGCTAACTAAGAGACAGACCAAACTTTTCTCCCTCCCTTCCACACTTGCTCTTGTTTTTCATTGAGAGACGTGTGTGCCAAACGTAAGTGCTAACATCTACTTTTAAAATTTTTAATAGACTATCAATTTATTGGAATACTATATAACCATAAGATGAAAAAATTTGAAGACTAAGAAACTTCACATAATAAAGCTAATTGAAAAAGCGGAATATAAGTGTAAGCACATTGGAATTAACATTTTGTGAAAAATACAAATGGTAAAAATTGGTAGACAACTCAGGTATGAAAATCCACTGGGGAACTACAGATAATTGTTTCTTGGTAGGTTTGTTTAGTGTTGCAAATTTTTCACATTATTTTGTAAGGAAGTCATAAACCATAGTTGCTAAATATAAGATAGCAAAACTTGAAATTTAAAGTTGAAAGACTCTGTGCTTTCTTTTCATAGTCAAGAGATGGAAGTTTTTGAAGGTAATTTATTTACTTTTGGTGCCTCTTCTTCCCCTGCCGCTGTCTTGCCCTGCCTGCCTTCTCTCTCCCCACTGGTAGCTACTACTTTGTTCTCTGAATCTGTGAGTCTGTTTCTGTTTTGTTATAGTCATTCTTTTTTTTATATTCTACATATAAGTGATAACATACGGTATTTCTTTCTGTGACTTAATAATACGCTCCAGGTCCATCCATGTTGTTGCAAATGGCAAACTTCCTTTTTTTATAGCTGTAGTATTCCATTGTTTGTATATATACCATATTATCTTTATCCATTCATCTATTGATGGACACTTAGGTTGCTTCCATGTCTTTAGTTAATTATAAATACTGCTGTGAACATGGGGTTGTGTGTATCTTTTCAAACTAGTGTTTTCATTTTCCTCATATACATACCCAGGAGTAGAACTGATGGATCATATGGTAGTTCTATTTTTAGTTTTCTGAAGAACCTCCGTGCTGTTCTCCACAGTGGCTACCCGAGTCTACCTTCCCACCAGCAGTGTACTAGGGTTCTCTTTCCTCCGCATACTTGCCAGTACTTGTGATATGGGGTCTTTTTGATGATAGCCATTCTGGCAGGTGTGAGGTGGTATCTCATTGTGGCTTTGATTTGCATTTCTCTGCAGATTAGCAGTGTTGCACATCCTTTCATGTGCCTGTTGGCCATCTGTATGTCTTCTTTGGAAAATTATCTATTCAGACTTTCTGCCCATTTTTTAATCAGGTTGGTTGTTTTATTGATATTGGGTTGTATGAGCTGTTTATATATACACACATATATTTTATTTTTCCTCCCTCTGGCGCTCCCTCCCCACGCTGTTTATGTATTTTGGATATTAACCCCTTATCAGTCATATGGTTTGCAAATATTTTCTCCCATTCTTTAGGTTGCCTTTTGTTGTTGTTGTTGATGGTTTCCTATGCTGTGCAAACGATTTTAAGTTTAATTAGGTCCCATTTATTTATTTTTGCTTTTGTTTTCTTTGCCTTAGGAGACAGATCTAAAAAAAATACTGCCACAATTTATGTCAAAGAGTGTTCTGCCTATGTTTTCTTCAAGGAATTTTATGGTTTCTGGTCTTAAACTCAAAACAGATTAAAAACCTGAATTTATTTTTGTATATCATGTGAGAAAAATGTTCTCATTTCATTCTTTTACTTGTAGCTGTCCAGCTTTCCCGGCACCACTTACTGAAGAGACTGTCTTTTCCCCATTGTATATTCTTGCGTCCTTTGTCATAGATTAATTGATCATAAGTGTGTGGGCTTATTTCTGGGATCTCTATTCTATTTTTATACCCATACCATACTGTTTTGATTACTGTAGCTCTGCAGTATATCCTGAAGTTAGGGAATGTAATACCTTCAGCTCTATTCTTCTTTCTCTAGATTTCTTTGGCTATTCAGGATCTTTCATGTTTCCATTCAAATTTTAGAATTATTTGTTCTGGTTCTGTGAAAAACGTCTTTGGTGTTTTGATAGGGATTGCATTCAATCTGTAGATCACCTTGGGTACTAGGGTTATTTAAACAATATTCTTCCAATCCGTGAACACAGAATATCTTTCCATCTGCTTGTACCGTCTTCAGTTTCTTTCCTCAGTGTCTGACAGCTTTCTAAGTACAGGTCTTTTACCTCCGTAGGTAGGTTTACTCTGAGGTATTTTATTCTTCTCGATGCAGTAGTAAGTGGGATAGTTTTATTAAATTCTCTGATAGTTTGTTGTTAGTGTATAGATATTCAACAGACTTCTGTATATTAACTTTGTATCCTGCAACTTTACTGAATTCATTCAGCTTTAGTAGTTTTTTGGTGGCATTTTTGGGGATTTTCTGTGTATAGTATCATGTCATCTGCAAACAGTGAGTTTTACTTCTTCCTTTCCAATTTGGATTCCTTTTCTTTCTTTTTGATTGCTTTGGCTCGGACTTCTACTATGTTGAATAAATTAGCAAGAGTGGGCATCCTTGTCTTATTCCTGATCTTAGAGGAAATGGTTTCATCTTTTCACTACTGATTTTAACTGTGGGCTTGTTATATATGGCCTTTATTATGTTGAGATATGTTCCCTCTGTACCCACTTTGATAGTTTTTATCATAAATGAATGTTGAATTTTCTGCATCTATTGAAGATGATCATGTGACTTTTAGTTCATTAATTTGATTTTCAGATGTTGAACTATCCTTGCATCCCTGGGATAAATCCCACTTGATCATGATGTGTGATCCTTTTAATGTATTGTTGAATTTGATTTGCTAATATTCTGTTGAGGATTTTCTGTATCTTTGTTCATCAGTGATATTGGCCTGTAATTTTCTTTTCCATGTGATATCTTTGTTTGGTTTTGGTATTAGGCAATGCTGGCTTCATAGAATGAGTTTGGAAGCATTCCTTCCTCTGCAGTTTTTTGGAGTAATTTGAGGATAGGTGTTAAGTCTTCTCTAAATGTTTGTGAAAGCATCTGGTCCTGGACTTTTGTTTTTTGGGAGTTTAATTACTAATTCAATTTCATTTCTGGTAATTGGTCTGTTCATATTTTCTATCTCTTTCTGGTTCAGTCTCAGCAGTGTACATTTCTAGGAATTTGTCCATTTTTTTTAGGTTGTTCATTTTATCAGTATATAGTTGTTCATAGTAATCTCTTATCATTTGTATTTCTGTTGTATAGGTTGTAACTCCTCCTTTGTCATTTCTTACTGTGTTGATTTGGGCCCACTTTTTTTTTTGATGAGTTTGGCTAAAGGTTTATCAATGTTATCTTTTCAGAGAACCAGCTCTTAGTTTCATTGATCTTTTCTTTTTTCTTAGTATCTATTTATTTTTGTTGGATCTCTATGATTTCTTTCCTTCTACTAACTTTTGTTCTTTTTAGTTCCTTTTGTTTGTTCTTTTTCTAGTTCCTTTATGTGTAAGGTTAGCTTGTTTGCGATTTTCTTGTTTCCTGAAGTAGACTTGAATCACTATAAACTTCTCCCTCAGAACTGCCTTTGCTCCATCCCAGATTTTGGATTGCTGTGTTTTTCCATTTGGATTTGTCTCTAGGTAGTTTTGGATTGCTTCTTTTTTACCCCCAGTGATCCATTGTCTGTTCAGTAGCATGTTGTTTAGCCTCCATGTGTTTGCCTTTTTTGCAGTTTTTTTCTTGTAGTTACTTTCTAATCTTATAACATTGTGGTTGAAAAAGATGCTTGATACGAATTTCAGTTTTCTTAAATTTACTGAGATTTATTTTATGGCCTACCATGTCATCTGTCCTGGAAAATGTTCCATGTGCATTTGAAAAGAATGTGTATTTTGCTGCTTTTGGATGGAATGTTTTATGTATATCTGTTAAGTCCATCTGGTTTAATGTTCTGAATGTCAAGTCTGAGCTGGTGTTGGCCCACTGTGGGCAGGGCCCAGGCGCAGGGTTCCCAAGCTAGCGCTGGCACACTGGTATATGGGGCCAGGTCTTGGCCCTCTGCAGGGCAGGGCCATGTCCCTGGGCAGCTGTGAGCTCAGGGGTCTGAAGGCAGCAGGCCTGCTGGTGGGTGGGCTGTGTGAACTCCCCTAAATGGCTGCCGAAGCGTCTGTGTCCCCATTGTGAGCTCCAGTCGCCTCCTGCCTCTCTGGGAGGCTCTGCAAGATCAGCAGGTGGGTCTGACCCAGGCTCCTTCCACATGACTGCTTCCGCCCTGGGTCCTGGAGTGTGGGAGACTTTGTGTGCGCCCTTTAAGAGTGGAGTCTATTTCTTACAGCCCTCTGGCTCTCCCGAAAGCAAGCACTGCTGGTCTCCGAAGCCAAATACTCTGGGGCCTGGCCTTCCCAGTGCAAGGCCCCCAGGATGTGGAGCCTGATGCAGGGCTTGGGCCCCTTGCTCCCTGGGGAGGACCTCTGCAATTGTCATTATCTTTCCACGTGTGGGTCTTGACTGTACCATGACTCCACCCCTCCTACCTGTCTTGTGGTTCGTTCTTTATATCTTTAGTTATATAAGATCTCTTCTGCTAGATTCCAGGCTTTCTCATCAATAGTTGCTCTGTAAATAGTTGTGATTATGGGTCCATGGGAGGAGATGGGCTCAGGGTCTTCTTACTCCACTGTCTTGGCCAAGTCTCAAGAGCTGACACTGAGCAAGGCCTAACTGTGCTAATAATAAGCACTTTGCACATTTTACTTAATCCAATCAGGCCTATAAAACAGGTGCCATTATTCCCATTTACAGACGACGAAGCTGAGGCACAGTGAGATTAAGTAACTTGTCTAAAGCTGCACAGCTAGTCAGGGGTGGAAGAGACAGAATTTGACCCCAGGGAGCCTGTCTGACCCACGTGGCTGCTTTGTGACATTTGGACATGTGGGTCAGGAGCTCAGGGCGGACCTGAATGACAGCTGTAGATAAGGAATCATCTGAGTCCAGAACAGCACTCGGGACCTGTGGAGCCAGCCAGGGAGCATCTCCAGCGTCAGACCTGTCCTTTGGATTAATGATCAGGGGTAAGTAACCGCATCACTGAAGTGCTCTTGAACTTGGGGTGCTGTAGGGGACAACAGGCTGGGTCTTAAGCATCACCATTCAAGCCCACAAGCCCCCCAGGGTGCTGTGCCCAGAGGAAGTGGGTGGCGGGGCGCAGGATGGCATTATCTGGACGATAGCAGCTTTAGGCCGAGCCTCCATGAAGACATGTGGGAGACCACAGGTCCCAGTGCCAAGCTGCCCTCCAGGAGGCTGACCTGTGGCAGAGTAGGGTGGCAGGCGTGGTGCATCAGACTTGTGGGTGGTCTGAAGGAGAGGGCGCCAAACTGTTCTCTAAGAGACTTCCCCAAAGCTTACTCTTTCCTAAGCACTAAGTTTAGTGTTTTAAAAATTCAAATAAACCCAGATCTTAGAAAGCTGACGTCCTAAAGGATGTTACAGGACGCCTAATGCCCCCACTTTCCATGTGAGGACACTGAGGCCCAGAGAAGTGGACTTGGCCGAAACTGTCAAGTTTGATGTCGCAGCAGGGCCACCACTTCTGTGATAGGATGACCCAAGAGTGGACACACCAGGTCCTCCACCTCTTGAGAATGTGCAGCCATGACCTGCTTTACTTCAGAAAGGGCTTTATCTTAGGATGACAGCTAGTTTCCTTCCATCTTTCAAGCCGGAGCCTGTCGGTGGCACTATCAAAGCTTTTCTTTCTTGTCCGTCCGCTCCCCCAGGTAACTGCAATCAAGTTCTGACTTGTTAAGGTCAGAATTCTGGAGTGAAGAGAGGGCAGAACGGCAAAGAAGCCCTAACCTTGAAACCCGAAGTCCTTTCTGTGCACCGTGCACGCTCCACTGCGGCCCACCGGCTCGGGCATCCCTCTTCCCGCACAGGTGAGAGCTCGCGCGACTCTGGTGCGGTTCCGCTGACCTGCAGGGGGGCCTTCCCGCTGCTGCTCGGCAAAGACAAGCAGTGTGCGTGGTCACCCCGAGCTTCAGGGGCCGGAGATTCCCGGGCAAAGGGGGAGGCAGCTCCCTTTCCATGGTTCTCTCAAGCCCTTGCTGCTCAGAAGATGCCCACGGGCATCGGCATGCCCCGGGAGCTAGCCGGAAGTGCAGGCTCGCAGGCCCGCCCAGGCCGCAGAGTTGGCACCTGCACTCTGACAAGATGCCCGGATGATTCCTGGCAGTGGCCCAGGGGAACAGCACTGACTCGGGTCCTCTTTCCCAGAGCCACCCTCCCAGGTACCTAGTCCAGCGGTGTGTTCCTCAGCAATCCCACGACCTAGAATGCAGCCAGTGGGCACGGCAGCCCTTCTTCCCGCCCCTAAAACCTGCAAAAACACGTTAGGACCGAAAGGTTAAGGAATGAAGGTCTCTGCTTTATGGGACAAATACTCCAGTTCCTCAAGGAAGGAGACAGACGTAAGTCAGTCCTCCAAGAGCAAAGGCCTTTGGGGCAGTGATGCCTGCTGCTACCAAGGTGACCGAGTGATGCCACTCATTGGGTTAATTTCCACCTCCTCATTCCCAGGTTACTAAAGGACAGATAGCTGGCAATCCATTTAAATATTCTTTGAAAGATGTTTGGAAGGAGAAAAAAAAATCCTAGCATACAGAAGTTATCCAGAAAGCTCGTTTATGTGCAGGAGTCCTGCCTCCCCCAATAGCAGCACCTGGGTGAGGCTGCCCTGTGTCTTCATAACCTGCTAGCTTGCTGATAAGCTGGTTTACTCCTCCCCCCCACCCCCACCCCAGCCAAACTAAGTATTTTCTGTGGTCCCTGCTGGTAGTTGATAAAAACACACACAAGTCAAGGAAATGATTTTTTTACTTTTTTTTGGTTTGTTTTTAAAGAAACTGCATACATCATCAGAGACAAACAATAATTTAAATACCATGCAGTTTCTCTATGTACAAAACCTAGGCCACAGAGATCCAGCTTAATTTGTATTCTATTTACAGTGTCGTCCTCATAAGCTGTCGTCTGTTACGTCGGAACACGGGCGAGTGCTCCTCTACAAAGACACGCTATGTACAGACACCCGGGGAGCAACTGGAAAAAGCAACTGGTCTGGGGATCAACACAGGGGAAGAAAAAGTCATTTCAGGTGACCTTTGCCCTCTGGCTGTGCACAGGGCGAGCCTGCAAATCCACTCATCAAAGCACACACCACGATTTTCATTCGGCAGATACACATACACGTTCAGAAGCGGGAGAAAAATAAAACTCGGAGGTTTTCATCACATCTACCGTCGCCTCTAATCTGACAGTTTTACAGAGTTTTGAGAGCCTCCGGGGAGGAACATACCAGCAATTTCAGAAGAGCAGGTAGGCCAACGGGCAGTCTCTCTGGTGGGTGGGGTAGGGACTGGGGGGCAGTGTCCACAGGGAAACGTTCTGATTGAGAAATGTCACTCCCCCCCCTCATGCTACTCCAGATGACCAGAGGCTCAGCTGGGAACTGATACCCCAAGATAAACCTTTATCCGAACTGCAGCTTTCTCAGAAAAGGGGCACGTCGTAAACTACCTAGCCCATCTTTCTTCCCTCCCACCGATGTCAAACTGTCATCTTGGAGAGAAATACATTTTTCAGTTGTCTTAACAATGTGGCATAAAAGGAAGTTTGGACAGACGTCTATAAAAACCTCACGATTTCGAGAGGAGAGAAACAGCCGAGGGCCATCCTGTGACCTCCCCAGGTTGCCGAGCTGCTCACAGGGGGCTGGAGGAGCCCACTGAGAGGGCGGTGACGGCGCTCTCCCAGAAGAGGGCGCTCAGCAGGAGGAGGAACAGAAGCTGCGGTGCTGCGGCGCTGTGGGCGGAAGCCCTGGCCGGCTGGCTGGCGGCAGGGAACTCAATTTAGGTGTCACGTTCCCAGGGAATCTGAAAGGCCCCGGAGCCGGAGCCGAGGCCAGCAGCGAGGCCCCTGGCCTTGGTGGGCGGAGTCCAGGCGGTGGACTGAGCTCCCTGAGGCCTGGCTCCTGGGCCGGGGAGGGCCTGATCGTCCGCCAGGCCCCTGGGAGGCACCGGAAGCACAGCTGTGAGTTAGGGGAAGGTCAGACTCAGCTCCCGGCCCAGCACCCCACCCAGAACACGTGCCCACCACAGAGAAGTTACCAGAAGGGCCCTACACCCTTCGTCACGCTGTCTGCACATTCAAACATCAGTAAGCCTTTTGGGAAGACCCATGTTTACAGCCACAGTAAGATCCTGACCACATGTTTCTGAACGATACCTCTACCCACAGCAGTAACTATTCACTTTAACAGTCAAAGAACGGATGGGGTGATGGCATCCCCCGGGGCTGGGCGGTGGCCTGCTCCTCCAGGTGGTGCAAGGAGAGCATAGGCCAGCTTTGTGCCGCTGTGGGCCCCCGCCTAGGACCGGGCCCCAGCTCCCCACAAGACACGCACGGGTTAACACCGGCCCAGGAGCTGGGTGTGCATCCCCAAAGTAACGTGATCCGACACGGTTCGGGGAAGAGACCTATTAACTCTTTGGTGAAGGCCAAGCTGGCATCTTTCTAAATCCCGGGCCTGTGTGGCGGGAAGTGAGCCAGCACCGAGAAAGCTGGTAGAACCACAGGACCCCACGCGCAGGCCTGGTGGGGCTGGGCAGCCAAATGCCCTACAGGCTCCATCAGGAAGGAAAATGGAAGCAGCCTGGGGCTGGGACAGCCTCCCCTCGTGTCCCCCTGTCTGCACTGCTTTCCTGCGGTCCCAGGTGGGGGAGATGGTCAGAGAGACATCTCCAGTCCCTTCACCAGCACCGAGAGGGAGAGGTGGGGTGGCTCCCTGGAGAAGCGGGGACGGGGGGGTGCAGCACCGCCAATGTGGCTGTGTCTGCAGGACTCTGGGGCTTCTCCAAGACTCTCCAGGGCGAAGAAAGACGGGAAGGCCCTCAGGTGGTTCTGGAGGACCAAGCCCCTAGTCGCTGGAAAGCCAGCCTTTCAGGAAGGGTCTCTGGACTGCATGCATTGGTTCTCGACTCAGGCCATTGACTTCCAAGCCACATGGTCACCAGCACTGGGGCTGGCAGAACAAATGAACATCAGCCACACGGTCTGTCACCCCCTCAAGGGCTTTTATACCCTCAATAGGGTCCCGCTGCCCCCACGCATGATAGACACGGCTGTGTGCCTGAGACCACCTGCGCCGTCTGGCTGTTTTACTATGACAACCTTCCCCTTCTAAACCAGAGCTTCCGGGAGGCAGCTCAGCTCAGCCTGAGGGGACAGGAGGGGTGCTCGGTGCCAGCCTTCCCCTTCTGGAGCACACACACTCTTAGGACAGACACTCAACCACAGACTCGCCCAGCGAAGGGCTCTCCCCTTCTGTTCACCGCACGGATGGTGGTTGGAGAGAGGTAAGGACAGGGGCCACCAAGGACAGTGACCCTCTCCACAACACCTCCGCAGAGGCTCCCACACCAGATGCCGCACCTGGAGCCAGGCTGTTTGGCCAAGTGGAGGAGGCCAATGCAGATCCCTCGCTTTGCAGTCTCCAGGCTGGCCCCACCGCCTCAGCTTTCTTTGGACTCAGGTGTTGGACACTTTCGAGGCAGAGGCTCACTGGAGCCGAGATAAACGTGGTACCTGTCGGCCTGGCTGGAGAGGCCCAGGACGTCTCCGGTGTCGTCAGCCCTGTCCGTCATCAGCGGTGGTGCCAGCAGCTCTGACCACGGAGCCGTAACCATCGCATTTTTGCAAACAAAATCCTGATTGTGTTTCCTTTTCTTCCTCCTCCTTCTTTTAAAAAAAGGCAGTTCAGAAGATTTACATCGTGATGGGGAAGTGAATAAATACCAGCACTTATGGTTCTTATAAATTTATGTTTTGAAGACAGCATAGCACTCAGGAGAAATTCGACTGTTAAGGTCGGTGAAACCTAGGGAAACAAACAATCACATCAAGACCACAGGGCCGGCAGAGGTGTTGGGTTTGACAGCCCAAGCTCTCCATCTGCGGATCCCTTGCTCCTGACAGCAACAGGGAGGTTTGGGGGGCCTGTCTACCTGAAGGCCAATAAATCTCCACCAGACCCATCAAGAACATGAGGCCCAGCCGGTTCACCTTTGGTTTTGGAGTAGTCTGATCAGGAACTCCTGGGGCCCCCCAGCCCATGCTCAGACTCAGCGGTGAGGCGGAAACCCCAGCCTGGTGTCTGAGGCGCCGTTTCTCCAGACATTCACCAGAGGAGAGGGTCAGAAGGATTAAGTCAGTGGCTCTGTCCCTAACTAGCCCTGTGACCTTGTGCCAGCCCCTTACATCTCTCTGGGCTTCAGTCCCACCAAGTGTCCTCACACAGGACGGTCTGGGAGACTGGCGTGGCGTCACAGCCGCGAACCCACTTGGACGAGCCACGTGGGTTTGGTATTTTGCCCAAGTTAGGTCTCGGCTGACTGGCTGTAAGTTGGCAATGATCTTTTCTCCTCAGCTTAAGTTTTCCTAAAAACACACTGCGGGGCTGGCACTTTTCAGAGCTTTAGTCTGAGTTAAAAACTAGGCTTTGAAAAGGTGGCCTAGACTGCTCCTCCTCCCAGTTTCGGCGACTGCAGTGGAACCCCATGCTGACCTTGTCCCCCACGGCACCCATCACACCACCTGTCCTCCAGAAGCAGCTGGGAGAGTCGAGTTTGGGAGTAAATAATTTTAAGGGGGGAAAAAAAAGAAAAAGACCCAGCTGCTACTAACCTTGTTAAATGTCTACTCAATTCGTGAACTTCCATTTCAGTGCTTTTAAATTCATTGAGCTCCTTTCGAATGGCAGCCTGGAAGGGAGAGAGCCGTGAGTATGCAGAGGAGACAGACGGACAGGCGCTCACCTCTTAGCTTATTCCTAACAGTATTTTCTTTCTTCAACAAAGCCACTCAAGTGCGGAAAATGGCTTCTCTCACCGGGAGGAAAGGAATCACCGGGGCGATCTTTTAGAGCCTACGAGGCATCCCCTCCCCTAAATCTAAGTTGCCAGACCTGTTCCATCTGGGCGCCCAGAGGGCCTGTCCACCTGTCCCACACTCCTGGGGCCCAAGTACACATGGAAAGGTCAGCCTCTCGTCTTCCTTAGGTAAATCTAAGGTCCCAGAGGCGCAGTGATGCCTCAGGATGGCTCCTTCCAGAGGAGGTGGATCCAGCGCCCCAGCCAAATTAAGGTGCGGGGTTACGGCCAGCTCCTGCCTTGCCCTTTGACTTACGAAGCCTCTGCTCTTTTACAGCTCTATTGGTGATGTAGTTCACCCTCGAGGGTAGAGTTTTAAATTCCCTCAACTATGCACGAGATAAACTTGCATGACCTATGGTGAGACGCTCAGAGTGGCTGCAGCGAGTGGACTGGGCTGGTCATCAGACCACAAAGTGGGGTGTGGGGCACTGGAGCAGGAGCGTGTCTGGAGGGGAAGAAAACCTCATTCCTTCCTTGGGGGCTGACATTTTAAACATGTGCCCTTTCCCATAGCTCTAAGGTGGACATTTGCTTTGATGGGAAGCCGCCAATGCGCCGGAAGTCTGAGGATGGAAAAGCCTTTGTGTAGGGTCAGAGTGGCTCCCGCCAGGGAAGGCAGGCACTGGGCTTTAAGTGGCTGCAGCAGGGGGCCCTGCTTCCCCAGCAGCCTTTGAGGAACTGGAGATGCTCCTGCCCACCAGCCACTGAGAACCTGAGCACGTTGGTGTGGAGGTGGTCTAGACTTCCCCTTGACATTGGCTAGTTCCTGCCTCCTGGTACGCAGGTGCACTGCAGTGGGTGTGTAAACAAGAAAGCGAGGCCACGGTCCTTCCTCTGGTCACGTCTACAGGACACAACTGCCCCGGGGACTGGGTCATGAAGGGAGGAGGGGAGTGCCGTGCTGGCAGAGGAGAGCAGAGGCTTCCACAGATCAAGATCTGGGTGAGGAGAGAAGGGTGGACCCACCCCAACAGGAGGCCGTTTCTGGGAGACGTGTCTGCCTTTGGCCACGTCCAGCCTCACCAAATACAGAAGCAAGTTCCCCGGGCTCACCCTCCAGCCAGAGGCTGGGCTGGAGGGACCTCCTGTGTCGTGGCAGGAAGTCACTAGCCGGGGAAGGATGGGGCAGAGGCAGGGCTCTAGGAGATGGTCCCTGATGTACCCCAGTGTCTCCTTATTGTCACTCGCACATTAAAAAAAGGCCTTGGCTCTTCAGGTCCTTGTGGTGGATTGGGGACAAATGAGCCCCAAGCAGAGGTCCATGCGCTGATGGATGGACAAAAGTGTGTGTCCTGTGCCTTCTCGAGAGCCGTGGAGAATCAGTGGCCTCTCTGCACACTGTCTGGGGCCCGTGGGGAAGGGGCGGGGAAGCAGCCCGCCCAGCAGGCGCCCCGCACCCCAGGACCGACTGTGACCGGCTCTGCTGCTGGGAGAGCCAGCCCCCAGGCGTGGGGACCGCCACCCTCCTCGCCCCTCTTACTTTGTCAGCAGCGGTGAGGCGGGTCCAGGGCTTGTCGGCCCTGCGGTCGTAGTCCTGAGCGTCTGCCACCTCCACGTAGTCGCTGAAGCGGATGAGGATCTTGCGCTCCCGGAGCTCTTCCACGGTGGGCCTTTGGCTGAGCTGCGGGAGGGAGGGAGCAGTCAGCCAGGGCGGTGCAGGCCATGTGGCCCCTCCGAGACTGCAAAGGTGTGGGAAGGCCACCGACTCATCACACACAAGGGAGGGCCCCCGCGGGGAACATGGGCTCCTGACCCCCGGCCCCGGGACCGCCCCAGGACTCTGAGAAGGAGCTTTACTATCTCATGAGCCAGCTCCAGGCCTGTTCACATGGACAGCCAGGCGGTCTCTTAAGCACACTGCAGTGTCTTGGTCTTGACAAGCAGTTCGTCTTTCCTTGTGGGCAAGGATTTTCCCACATCTGTCCTGTCTCTCCCATCAGGTGACAGAAACCTTACACAACGGCTCTGCATTGTTTTGGATTTGTGAGCCCACCTCTGTGTGTCAAAGGCAGTGCTGTCCGCAAGGTGGATTCGTAACCTTTTATGTTTTTTAGACACACACACAGTGTACGTGCAAACAGTACACAAACTCTAGGGTGTGCAGGAATGGGAATATATTGATTTACGAGGTCAAATGAAAGGGGGGTCCACACACACACAGCAGGCCGTGTTGTTGCCAAGGGAGACTCGCAATGGGCCGTTCGGATGGGTTCGCGGTGAAGGAGTGAAACGAGTGATTTATTTAACCCTCTCCCGGTGTAGCCCACGGGCACCCCTCTTTCCTTTGAGCTTTAACAACATAAGGCTGACATTTCTATTATCCCTTCCTGTCACCAGGCTTATTTCTTCTGGAGCAGCACAGGGGCTCTCTCTCTAGGATGCTGTCAACTCATGTTCAACCGATGTTATTTAAAGGCAATTTTTCCTCCAAGCCCTAGACTGTATTTAATTCTATTAAAAGAAGATGCAGTCAGACAGAATCTTACCACAAAGGCCTATAAAACAAACACACGCAAGTGAATGCAAACCACCCTGGCTGTTTTGACTCTGTATCGTGCAGCTGCCATGCACCTTTGGCTGGTGCCAGAATGTTCCAACTTGCTGCCCACCGGCCAACAACGGAAGAGCATAATTAGGTGACGGCCTGGCTGGTGCTGCATAGGATGATGACAGGTACAAGACTCTGACAGGACCAACGCAGCCTGCAGCTCTGCCCTGGCCAAGCGCAGGAAGATCTGGGGGCCAGAGGCCTCCTGGGCTGTGGAACTTGCCCCCTTTGTCTAGACTCTGTGCAGCCCCCCTCACAGTGGGTCCAGTCTGTCCTGAGGTGGCCCTGGTTTTCCAGGGATGGGACATTTTGGCATCAGTGGTGGCCTGTCACAGGGAACCAGAGGTTTCCCAGCCTCCATGGCTGGGGCTGCTGTGAACAAAAACGGTGGTCCAGCCTGACTCCCAGATGCCAGGGCAGGGAGCTCTGTGCCACCGTCACACCCACACAGGCGGCCACCAAACACCACGAAGAATAAGGACTCCTGCCCCAAGCCCCAGTGTGTGCTTCTAAGTACCAGTGAAGTTACCCTGGGCTGTCGGACGAACAGCACTCTTTACTAAGTGTGCCATGACATAAGAAAGGTGGCTAAGCACAGTCTCTAATTTAGATTTCTGGAAATCATGACTTGGATTTTGCAAATAGCCTGTCCACGGTAGAGTCTGGACTGAACAGAAAACTAGAGGTTGGCTCTGCAGGCGAGGGGCTATGTTTCATGCCTGAATCCCATGGGGACCTTAGACACAACCTCTCCAAATCAAGATGGGACTGCGCCCAAGTACTACCAGGGAGTGAGTGAGGAGGGCAGCAACTGCTTCCGCTGGGAGCATCTCCGACTAACAACCGCCCAGACTCTGCCGTGAGCGTGGGCTCCTGCCCGGCCACATGGGGCTCAGGAGATGTGCCTTCAGCTCACAGCTGGCTGTAGCCCTTGGGGCACTTGAACCCAAGGTACTTCCTCGGATGCTAAGGAAATAATCTTTGCAGCCAAAGTTGGTTTTCTGTGGATGAGGGCTGGAAGAAGGGGTAGGGTGTAGAGGCTGACAGCGTTATTTTTCAATCTATGGCACCAGTATCATCATTGGTAACCAAATACTCAAACAAAAGGGTAAGGTGGGACCCAAAGTTTGCTGTTATTACAACCTGACCCAGATGCATGTCTTCCCTCCCTTGCTTCCATCCATCCGCCTCCCTCCCTTCTTCCCATTCATCCATCCGGCTAGCGTTTTTTTGGAGGGAAGTGGGAGGCAGACTAATAAAAGACAAAGCATATAATTTTTAGGTTGGTCTCAGTTTGGCCGAAGAAAATGACTGGTCCGTTGCTATCAGTATTCGCTACAGTTTCATCTTCCTCAGTGCCTTAAAATTAACTAGAACGTAAATAGAACGGAATTGAGGAAATCCTCGGGCTGAGGGGAAGGAGGCGAAAGGCAGTCACCATCGCTGGCATCTGGTCTTGCTGAGATAAAGGCTCACGAGGAGCAGAACTCGCCCAGAGCCAGGAGGTGGTGTGGATTCTCTGCCTGCCGGCTGGCTCCACATCTCTGCTGACAACACCTGATGTGAAAGCTGCATCCGGTCTCTCCCTTATAAACAGTTATCCCTTCATTCAAGCTCATTATTTCTTATTCGCCAAGCCAGGCCCAGGGGAGGGCAAACGCTGAAATTACAAGGCCATTTTCCTGAGAGAAGGAAGGAGAGGCAACGAGGAGGAGGAAGAGGCATTACCTTGTCTTGATGACTTGCAAAAACTATGGGTGTTTGGGGGTACCCACCCCTAGCATCACCCCTCCTAGGGGAGATGTGTGTGGGAGGAAACCCTCTTTTCTCGCCCCCTCCTGCCAAATCATTCAGTTAGTCAAGTTTTCCCCTAAAAAAATCATATACTCTTTTTTTAAATGGAGGTTCTAGGTATTGAACCCAGGACCTCTTGCATGCTAAGCATTCGCTCTACCACTGAGCTATACCTTCCCTCCAAAATTATATACTATTTTTAAAGAGATGAGAATTAAGTGCACATCCAAATCTTTTCCTATTACTAGTTTTTAGCAAGAAACCCTAAAGGTTAGGAGAATTTTGGGGTCCCAGCAATCAACGGCAATGAATTTTATGAAAATCAGATGAAAACATTTTTTTCTGAAATGTCTAGACCTTTCTGTGTCAGACGTGACAGGTTATCACCAGTCTCCTTTTGATGTCCTTGATATTTCAAGGACACACTTAGAACAATCTAATGCACCTCCCCTGGTCCTCCTCACTGCTCTGGCTCAGGAAAAGGGATGCCTGATGTCAAAGGCTAGGTGGCCTTAAGGATGTTAAGAGTCAGACTTGGACTGGAGTGGGGGCACCTGGCGGAAGTGAGGTTCCTTAACTCTTGTTCTGGTTTCCCACCGGGGGCCCCAGCCTGTCGCTGGCCTGCCAGGCCCTTGTTTCTCCTGTTTCTCTCAACTGGGGTGGCGTTTGGCTTGTCACCAGATGTCTGGGATGCTGCGAGGAAGATAAACTGTTGAGAATCGCAAATCACCTCCGCAGTAATTGGTATGGTATTTTAGGATCTCTGAATTTCTTCCTTTGCATAATATTTCCAGGGAGAAAGATCCATTAATAAACTTTTAAAAGATTAATTTTAATGGGTCTCTTAACTGTCTCTAAGCTTTGAGTATCCTTCTCTCAAGATGGTCACTGTAGGAGGCTGATTAAAAACACTAGTCAGGCAGAATACAGCATTTTATCTTACGTGTCATCAATTAAATTTGTCAACATCACCCAAGTAAGAATTTATTATCAAAGGGGCCACTTGTAGGATTAGATCCACTTGGTTCTACACCACATTTCCAAACCATCTATTTTGGGGGTTAAAAGTACACAAAAATTCTAGCTTTCTGCCTTTTATCTTTATCTAAGTGCTTCTCAAATATCTTCATTAGCTTTATCAGTACTTTTGGTCAGTACTTTTGGCATTTTCCTAATTCAGTACTTCAAACTGGATTTAGCATGAGAAACTAAATAGTTCTTAGGTAATAGGTTATGAACAGTATTAAAGGAGACAAGGAAAACATACTTTCCCAGGCTCATAGCAAATAACAGATATTTGAACTATTGATTTGGATGATGAATTTCCAACTGCTTGATGGGCTTAGAGTGAATTTTTAAAAAATAAATATTCACTGTAACTGAAGATACAAGGCACCTGACATTAAGTTGCTTGGAGGTAGGTCAGTGTCACAAAGTCTAGCAACACAGGATGTCACCATCCAAAAGGACTGAGGGTCATGAAGCTGACTTGACCTCTGTCCTCTGGAGAGGCCAGAGAGTTGTGCTCCGACACCCGAGGAGGGGGACCATTAACGTCACTCCCAAGGGCAGCTGCAAGGCCAACACAGAGCGCAGGAGTGGGGTCGGTCACCCCCTCCCCTCCCAGCTCAGCATAGAGAACGTCTTACCTTTCGAGTTAACCTCCTCTTGATTTCTCTTTTCTCCTCTTGTTCCTCTTGTTCATTCCGAGCTGAAACACACACAAAAGACGCTTTTGACGTTGGTAAGCAGTGTCCTGCTCAGGTGCACCCTCTGATCCTCTGCGGGTTCTAGGCCAAGCACCTACAGTTTGAAAAGGCAGGGAGAGTTCCCATCCCTTACCCTGGCCAGCCTTCTGCCTGTGGGGACACTTTCCAAACTGCCTGCACTGTTTCAAATTGGTGGTGAGCAAGCAGGTTGACCTTATTTTGTTTTCTTTATGTCACACGGGGTTCTGAGTCTCCAGGCAGAAATGCTGGGTTGAGGGAGTGGGGCCACAAGACAAAGAAGTTGGTCCTAAAAGAGTGGGTGCTGTCCGCATGACACGGGCATCTGGGGATTGGTGAGGCTCCCTTCTCTGGGTAAGACCTGGGCCTCACTCAGTGCTGCCTCGATCCTCACAGCGACTCACTGTGACGTGGCCCTTGTGTCTGGTGCCCTGCGCAGATGGAACAGAAGACGGGCCTGGTGGGGGCACCTGCCACCCGCTGCAGAAACAAAACGAGGCCCAGCTGACACCAAACACGAGGCTGGAAGTTCAAAATGCTCACCTTTTCCAAGCCCTGATTCCATTAATTCTTTGAATCTTCCAAGAAGTCCACAGAGCATGTGTGAGGCCACAGTGTGGGAGACAATTGCCTGCATTTGGACTCTTGAGGAGTGTCTTAGGCGAGCAGACTTCAGAGCTTAACCGTTCTCAGCTTAATATGTGGGGTGACTGACTCGTCAGATGTGTAAAGCACCGGAGGTGAGAGGGTCTGGGGAAGGGAGCAGAGATGCAGAGGGCAGAGGGTGGGTGTATTTAAGTCACTGGATGACATTCGGGGCATCACTTTCCTTCTGGGCTTTGGAATGGAACCTTGGATGCCAACATGACATTGTCTAGCTTGCGCACAATCATGAAAGTCAACCTGGGTCTAACGCCTCTGCTTCTCGTCTGCTGAACTGAGAACAGCATTTGTGAGCGGACACCACTCTGCGCTGGTTTTGGTACGGGCTGTACCAAAGAGGGCCCAGAGCACTTAATCCCTCGCTTTGAAATCACTGTTGTAAATGATGTTCCAATAACTCCCTTAACTTATCGTGTCAGCGTGCCCTCGCCGTTCCATCGACTCAGTATAGGACAGATCTTTAAAAGAGGGGCCTCTGTGCCTAGAAGTGGGGTCCCCCCACCCCTCCTTGCCAGCCCGACAGCAGCAACCACGACCACAGCCAACTCATACCGCAGGTGGCATCACCTCCCGCTAGAAGGAATGATGGTGCTTCAGAGCAGGACTCGGGCCCTCGAGTGATGCCCCCAGGGGCACAGTTTGGCTACTGTGACTGCCTGTGGGGATCAGGGTCTTAAATGAGGGCAGCACCTGAAATGCCCACAGCCTGCTGTGGGCCAGGGTCACTGGAGCCCCCTGCTGCATGCTCCACAGTGCCCCAGACCCCACGAGCTCCTTCCTTTGAACTTAAAAGGTCCTCCCTCCCAGAGTTCCTTTTATAAATGTGTGAATATCCCTTGGATAAAAGCCTGTTAAATTGGCCAGTCATTAATATCTTAGCATGAACTAACAGAGATACGCTGGGAGGCAGACAGCCAGACCCAGGAGAAGGGAGCCCCCACACAGCTGCATTTGCAGGCGGGAGGGAGAATGAAAGGAAAGGTCTAGGGAGGATGCTGAACGCCCAGGAGGTAGCTGCAGGGCACTGGGTTAAAATGCACAGACTCACAGAACATTAGGGCCAGGAGGGGCCCGAGAGACCACCTGGTCTACCGCCCTTGGTTTGGAAATGAGGCTACGAAAGCCCAGGGGAGTGGAGCGGTCGGCCACACGCTCGTGGCTAATTAGTTAGACAAACAGCCCAGCTCTTTTTCCTGCTGGAACACACTGCCTCTTCCCCCCAACACATTTTGCCTGGGACCAGCCCTCCTTCTCATTACAGGTTACTGGCCTCAGACTCCAGGCGGGGCCTCCCCATCCTACAGGACCCCTTCCAGGCTGTGGAAGTCGGCATCCTGCGATACAGCATGGAGCTGCCCTCTCCTGCTTGTGTCCCTGAGGTCCCTCTGAGGGGTGGAGGCCCCAACTACCACCTATGGAATCAATACCTTTAGTTCAAAGCCATTTATAAACCCAAGGTCATGAATTCTCAGGCACTGGGTACGGAGGCAACCCCATTGGGCAAGGGGGAGGGAGACCAGGGAGGGGCCAGAAGTCATCACCTGCTGCCACCATCAGAGGCTCATTATGTGCTCAGACCTGCACAGTGTCTCACTGGCTGCTGAACAGAGCAAGTGCTGCCTACAGGGCCCGGCAGCCTGGGGCTGGAAGGCGGGCCAGGCTCTCAAAGCCCCACCGCCCAGCCTCTCCGCCTCTGCCTACCTCTCTCCTGCCCCTTAGAGGAGTGGTTCATCCTGTGATTTAGAGCCCAATTAACCTGAGACTATATCACTGGCTATTTTCTGAGACCACTAAACACTTCTTGTTTAACAATCACAATAGATTTAAAACAGAAAGAAAAACATATTTAGGAAAACAAAGTTCCAGAATGCAGGGGTGCAAAAAAAAAAAAAAAAAAAAAAGAACCAACAAGAAAAACGAGCTCATTTCCATAAAGCTCTGAAACTCTGGAATGCTGGCCCTGCTTGAATTTGGTCAGGTGGTTCTTTAATCTGCACCTATTTGGATAGGACAAGGAGGAAGGGAACAGAATGAAAGGGAACCGGTGGGAACATTCTTAAAAGCCCTCTGCTCCCCTGAACCTGAGCCCCCCAGCTTACTAGATGCAAGGAATGGTCTCTGAGACCCGAGCATCTTTCTGGAGGGCGGGAACAACCTAACTCCAAGGACCAGCCCGGCGTCTCCCACGGATCCGGGTGAGCCAGACATGGGAGCCGGCGCCTTCAGGAAGCCAGGTGAGCAGGGGTTCTGGGCCATCTCTTTCCGACGCCCTTGCCCTTGCCGAGAGGAGTGCTGTCTTCTGAAACCTGAGCAAGTCCCCAGAAGGTTTCAGCTCCTTCACGTCTGAGAGTCAGCTCAGGGGCCACAGGCACCGTGCGGCCCCATCGGTAAACTGTCCAGAGGTTCCTACCGAAGACAGCGGGTCCGTGTGAGGCACGCGTGGGGCTGGGGGTGAAGCCGCAGGGGAAGAAGGAAGTACGGCCACCTGATTTCTCTTTTTAGGAATAAACGGTCACTTCCTATTTTTCTTTCGCTAACAGTGGAAAGCTGATAACCTGTCAGGTACCAGGGTGGGGCAGAAAGGGAGACGCCACAGATGCCAAATGCTTCCCTGACCAGGAGCACCTCCTGCAAGAGTTCTGACTCTGTTTCACGGCCTGTTAAACCTTATAGACTTAAAGCCTCCCCCCAAGCCCCCCCCCCCCGTTACGAAAGCGTGTAATCCTACACACAGCTTCCTAGACATCTGGAAATGGGAGGAGCCCGGAGGGCTGAGGGAGGCCAACGCTGAGGGCGACCTCCGCTGAGAGGTGTGGGAGCGGCCTGCGCAGGGGCGGGATGCTGGGGCGGGCGGCGGGGTGCTCTGGGGGGCTGTGGGCCCCGCACCTCCCCCACGGCCTTCCTGGTGCCACGCCACGGCTCCTCACCCTCAGCGAGCCATCTGATGCCGACCAAGTCACAGGCCACAACGAGGAAGGGGCGAAAAGTAAAATCAAGAACGCCTGGGCTTAGTCTAAGTGGAAATACCCAGCCACGCAGCGCGAGGCCTCACGTGACTGGCGCGCGTGTGTGCGGGTCTGTGCTCACGTGCGCAACACAGCAGCTCTGTGAAACTCTGCGTAGCTTCTGTTTCTCTTTTCTGGAGAGAAATTAGAAAGGGATGGGTGTGTGGGGAGAAAGGTCACGAATTAACCTAAAAATATTATCTGTTGACCATCTTGAGAGCGGTGCTGGTCAGAGTGTAGCAATGATGGAACTGACATGGACAGACAGGTTCTTTTTAATGACTGTCTTTCTCCCCCTAAACTGGGGCATACCAGTGTCCATGAGATTTCTTTCAGTATTTTTTAAATATACATTTTAAGCACCAAATGGATTTTCTGGACCTATTCAAATATCTCTGTGTTCTGACCCAAAACAGAGACCTGTTAATTTTTTTCTGCCCACAAATAGAGTGACAGCGAGTGTTTTTCTGACTGAGAGCATGGGGAGGCACACCAGCGGCCAGCTGTGGGAGCCCTGAGCCAGGACATGAGATTTTCACCTGCAAATGCCTTCTTAGACTTTAACGCTCAGGGAGGAGGCATTTTATCAACAGCAGCCAGCGGCCGTGGAAAGCTGTGTTTTCTGGTCCCAGTTTTCAAATGGCTACTTGCCTTCTTTTAGCCATCAGTATAGCATTTGCAGTTTCTAAGCCAATTTGAGTTTCAAGGTGACCCCAACCCTCATTTAATAATAAGTCCTCTCTCTCAAATGTTTCAGCCTCTGCAGACCTCGAGCTCCTCGTGAACTTAGTGGATTCAGATTTCTTTCTCTGTTCTGGATTTTCTAGCATATGGGGATAAAGTTTCCACCACCAGATTCTCAGTCATTTCCACACGAGCACACGGAAGAAACCTTGTGGCCTCCAATCAAACAACAACCAAAGCCACCGCAAAGCACCAGCACTTGCCGTGGGCTCAGTCACTTACGTTTCAAAATGTTCCTCTGCTCCAACTCCTCTGCAGTTGGCCTCTGGCTCAGTCGCCTGCGGAAAAAATCCAGGAAAAGTTTTTGGACCATATCATACCCTCCTCGGGTCATTAAGCTCCCCGGCCGTCGGAGATACATGAGACTGGGTTGGTGGCTGGAGTTCTTGTTCCATCCTGTGCTCTGAAGGACTGACTCTCACCACCAACGCCTCCTCAGTTCCTCAATTTCAACCCCAGGAAAGGCACCGACGTGATGTCACGTGCCGCTGACCCTCCCCCTTCCTCGGCCCCTCCCCAGCCCTGCAGGCAAGCGGACTCTTCCCACAGAAGTCCCTTTCTTTCGTTGCGGTGGCCTCCTAACTTAGGGAGCGTGGCCTCTGCCTTTCTCCCCCGACCCTGAGGCTAGAGCTTGCTTCTCGCCTTGTTTGTGCAGGCCCAGTTAGAACACAAAGAGGCTCGTGGCCCTAGGGAGACAGGAGAGAGCATGCCTGTCTGCAAAGAACAATAGCTGCTCTTCTGGTCCCCACCCATCGCCACCAAAGCCTTATTAGACGTGGGATGACAAATGGCCAGGAACAGGAATGACACTCCTGTTGCTGGCATGGAAGTATCCATAACAAGTGAACACCACAGCCAGGACGTGAACCTGGTACGCACAAGGGCAGGGGGTGGGCGCCACACAGTGACAGAAGTCGCCAGAGAATGGGGAGGGTGCCCAAGAGTGCCTGTGTGTTCTTAGATGCTTTTGTGGATCTGACTGCAAAGGTAAGGAACACAAAAGCAAAAACAAACAAGTGGGACCGTATGATTCTTAAAAAGCTTCTGCACAGTGAAAGAAACAGCCATCAAAACAAAGAGGCAAACTACTGGATGGGAGGAGATAATTTCAAGTCATATATCCAGTAAGGGGTTAATACCCGAAATATATAAGCAACAAATACAACTTAACAACAACAACAAAAGGAAACAACTGGATTAAAAAACAGGCAGGAGATCTGAGTAAAGACATTTCCGAAGAGGACATATAAAATGGCCAATAGGCACAGAGAACAAGGTTCAACATCACTAAGTATCACAATGCAAATCAGAGCCACAATGAGATATCACCTCGCACCTGTCAGAATGGCTATTCTCAGGGAGAAAAAAGAAGTAACAAGTGTCGGTGGATGTGAAGAAAAGGGAACCCTCATACATTGTTGGTGGGAATGTAAATTGGTGCAGCCACTACGGAAAACAGTATGGAGATGCCTCAAAAAATTAAGAATACAACTACCCTATGACCCAACCATTTCACTTCTGGAACAGGAAAAGTCTTAATTCAAAAAGACATTTGCACCCCCATGCTCTCTGCACCATTATTTACAACAGCCAAGATATGGAAGCTACCTCAGTGTCCACTGATGGATAAATGGATAAAGATAATGTGATAGATATACACAGTGGAATACTACTCAACCATAAAAAAGGATGAAATCTTGCCATTTCCGACAACATGGGGGGACCCTGAAGGTATTATTCTGTGCGAAATAAACCAGACAGAGAGATAGCACATGATTTCACCATGTGGAATCTAAAGAACCCCTAACCTAATGAACAAAACAAAAACTCACAGGTACAGAGATCAGATTAGTGATTACCAGAGGGGAAGGGGGTTTTGGGGGTGGGTGAAATGGGTCAACTGTATGGTGATGGATGGTAATAGACTGGTGGTGATGATCACACTGTAGTGCATACAGATGTCAAATTATACTGCTGTACCCCCTGAAACTTACATTAAAAAAGGGGGAGAACTACACGCCCAGATGCAGGTCCAGGAATGGTCACACGATGGGCCTCAGTGTCACAGAGACACCTGCATTTTTTTTTTATAGAGACATTCTGTATTTTTGAGGCTCTTGGAAATTATTTAGCAACCCTGCAATTATTCAGCATTCTGCTTCCCCCACTGGGATGTGGTGTGTGTGAAATGAGAAAATTGTGGAAGGAGCTGGAGGCTGCTCAGAATCCTCCAATGGGACTAAAGGGTAGAAAAGACTGCCGTCCTGGCAGCAGGGGTGGTAGCCCCTCCCCAAACACCGGCAGCTGGTGTCTACGGTCAGCAAGATGTTTACATCATGGACTCTGAAGACAGACTGAGAGTGAAAATCAACAGTCCACAGAGTCATCAGATTGATAAGAACATGTTCACATTCATTACTCATTTTCTTCTCAGAACATCCCGTGAAGGCATTATTTACCCCTGCTGCTAAGAGCCAGCTGTGTATTCGGAGATTCACAATCCTTGTTGTTCTAAATGTAAACTCAGCAGTCCTTGCGTCCTTTCTAAAGCTGCATTCTCAGACTGCAGGGGGAAACTTGTGGTTACTCGACTGAGCAAGCTGGTGTCATGGGTCTGGAATGCAGCTCCGGACTCCACTTAGAATGAATGTCTTAGAGGCTCTGCCTCATCTTTCAATTTATTTTCCCCAGGAATACTGGTTTTTGTTTTGTTTTGGTTTTTTGTAGGGATGCAGAGCCCCCTTTATGGGACCATTTGGTAAAACCCAGGCTTTACACGAAGCTAAGGTTTGGAGCAGTAAGTTCTGAAGAAGCCCTCCAGATTCAAGGTTGGAGCTTGCATCCCCGAAGTGGGGCCAGCGGTTTGGAATCTCACGCCCAGAAGTGTCTGCAGGATGTTCGCTCACTGGCTTGTGCTCCTCGACTCCATGACCAGATGCGCTGCCTGGTTCTGGGCTGGCCTTTGTTTTTCTTATGGGTCATACTCGGACGCGACAAAACAATGAGTGACTGAACAATCACGAGAGAAAATTCTGTTAACTAGGCAGACTTACCATCAGACACACGTAATTTCAAACGAGGCCCTGTATTTACGTTTCCTTTCTCCTGAAAGGGTCTGAGCACACGCAGGGAAATCACAGCTGTAAAACGGAGCCGAGCCCTCCCGAAGGGTACGTGCTATAAGTAGCTGTTTTGACTTTGAAAATGTGATTCGGCAGGAAAACGATATTGTGGCATGATGACAAAGCGCTAACAGCTCAGGAGTCAGGGAATCTGGGCTCAAACCCTGGCTCTGCTCTCAATCTGCTTTTCTTGGACAAGGTATTGGACCCGCTCAGCCCTACGTTTTTCCCTCTGCCAATAATAGGTAGTAATTTAATAAGCAAACGCTGATTTAATGCCTAAAATGTGCGGGCATGGTTCTAAGAGCTGCATATATGTTAACTCATTTCATCTTCAGATCAGCCTCGTGAGGCAGGACGCTGGACGCGTCATGGAAGCAGAGTAAGAAGATGGGTGTGGCCAGCGAAGAGACCTGAGGGCAGCTGAGAGGTCAGACGGGGCCTAAAAGAGCTGCCCCCTGGGCTCAGCCCTGGGGAAGTTGTCAGTGACCTCCCCCAGAGCTCTTCCCGAGGGGCGATGAGGACAGAAGCCAGGACGGCGTGGTTGGGAACAGGGGGGAGAAAAGGGACACCAGCAGCCTGGAGGACTCTTCCGGGAAGCCTGGCTTTGAAGGGGATGAGAGAGAACCGGTGGTGAAGGAGGCTCTGGGGAGATTCTTACTCTTTTGTGGGAAGAGACTGACCATGTTTAATGGGAAGAATTCAGATGTGGCGGTGGCGGTGGTGAGAAGCTAAGTATATTAGGAGGGAGAAGTCTCAACTGATGGTGCAGGAGTCCTGAGAAGGCAGGAGGGGTTGGGACTTAAGGGACAGAGAAGACTTTATCTTTCAAATGGAGGGGGGAGAGCTCTTTACCGTGACAGGAGGATGCAGGAAAGAGGGTGTTGTACAGAGGTCTGTATGTTTGGTACTGGAATTAATAAGGGAGTTCCTAATGGATGGCTTTTACTTACTCTTTCAAAGTAGACTAGAAGAAAGATGACTTAAATTAGTTTAAAATACTATCTTTCTTTGTGGGATCTGCCTTTAAACAGAGCCAAATGCACCAAGAAAAGGGATAAAGCTGCAGAATTCTAGCCGTCAGAATTTTAGGGGAGCACCCAGGGCAGCCTGCCATCTTCACCAAGTAAAGCAGCCATCTGCTTGGTTCCTTTTAGGATCTACCTTGTGCAGAAGTGTTGGTTCATAGAAAGCAGAAGAGCAGAGTACAATTACTGTATTAATGAAGTGGTCAATTTTACGCATAATCCCAAGGAGCTAATAATTACAAGAATAAAAGCAGAGATGCCCTCTGAATGCACTGCATGTGTTACACTGTCCTCATCTTGAGGGCAGATGCTAGTCATCTGATTTAGACTAACATTTCATTAAAAAATTTCCTGCCTAGGTATTTAGATATGACCATTCCAATACTAAATGACACAGGAAACCTTTTTGGGAGTTAAACTTTTATATAAGATGAATTAACCAAAAGTAAAACTTGAACGTCCTCTCAAGTGATCTATTCAAATAGCTTTGTTGTTATATACACGACCCTGCTTGATACAGCGTCTCTGAGCAGCAAAATTGTTTCCATGCCTCAAATGATTCCTTCTTTACCATGGACCGTGGCTAAGTGATTTCCATTTACTGTGAACTGAAAAGTCACTGACTTCCATTTAAATGCTACTTGCCTTCAATAGCCAACTATGAGCCTTCTGTTTTCTTTCAAAAATGTAAGAATGGATCTTATTTTTTTATGAGTCTGAACAACACCATGTAGACCACTGACCATAAGAGAAAAGCAAACACACTAACATTTTTCTGTGAAGCAAACCCACCAACCCCAAACAAATGGCACTTCGGCGCCGGCGTTGGCAGATTACTAGTGAGCGCAGCGGCAAGACGTTTTAAATGTATGCAGAGCAGAGGAGAGCTGTCTTTGTGCACTGCAGCATCTCCCCAGAGAAGTGACACAACCCTTAGGTTTTGCTGGTCTGACTCGACGCCGACCAGGATTCGTTCTGCTGCACGGACCTAATGAGCCTTCTGCAGGCTTTGGAGCAGCAAGGTCACAGCTTTTATGAGTATTTACAACTGCCTGTTGTTTTGCAAGCCCTGATTTTAAAGTGTGGATCTCTGAAGCTGAATCTGCCATTTCAGGAGAAAAAGAAAAG